AAGCATAAAAGAGATGTAAAGCCAAACCTTTATCTGGCTTCAGCCCTCTTTTGGCTCAAAACAATACATTTATTAATGTCCTCCTGTGACTTAAAATCAGCATCTAGCAGGCTACTCTGCCTACTATAAGCCGACAGTGCAGAACCAAGAAGCAGTCGTGAAACATCCGACATGAATGTTGGGATCTACCCCGCTGCCTGATTGACAGCTGGCTTTGCCTCTCTAGGGCCAGAACCAGCTGTGCCCGCCCCCTCCTGTCCATCCCTCCAATGACCACTGGAGAAACAAGAGAGAGGGGAATCCCTGCAGTAAGTGGTGACCGACACTCATTGATCTCTGCAGGGAGAAGACTGTGGGCTGAGCGATCAACTATACGTAATCGCTCAGCCCTCAATCTATAGAGCCGGCATGTAACAGCCGTAGTGTAACACGCCGGCTCTAAGTATTGGGGCCCAATACTTCTTTCATTTCTCAAATGAACCAAGGCGTCTGATTGTTCCTGGTGACTGCTCTACTCTCTAAATGTACAAAAACAAAAAGGTGATGCTTAAGCAACCAATCAGCTGCATCCTGTTAGATTACAAACTGAACTAACCCAGGACTGGACAAATCCTTTAACCACTTGAAGGCCATAGTGTTTCACCCCCTTCCTGGCCAGGTCATTTTTCAGTATTCAATGCCTAACTTTTTTTGAGGTCATCTCTAGTTGTTAATGGATCTGGCTCCCATAAAAATCCTTCTGGCTCCTGGATTGGACAGACTGGCTCCTGAACTCCATATTCATTTGTCCAGCCCTAGTAATTAATTCTAACCTGCGGAACAAGAGCCGGTTACAGTTCCAATACTTTGTGCAAAGGGCAGGTTCATCTAGAACTGGGCGAAATGCGTACAGTGTATGGCCAGCTTTAGTGAGGTCCACGGACTGATTACTAACCTGTGCTCGGTCCTCATCAAATTCTAAACATCCCATGCCATCCAACCTCTGGAGGTCAATCCATCCCTTCCACATGACACAGACACCATTCAGGATCATTGGAGCCTTTAAATATACCTAAAATAGGAGGGAAGGATTGCGTTAAAACTGTTTTATTAAAACTGAACACCAGCAAGGTATGAAAGTATGGACACTGCTTTGTATTCATTAAAAAGAAACATTACATTCATTTTTAAACTCAACTAGTGTAAGAACCTGATTCGGTCTCGTTATCCCCTGTGAGAGCTGTTTAGTAACATTGAACCTGGACCTATGGTACCTCAAAAGTCCAATAGTGCACACAGTATTCGTTTGATTTCTTAGATATGATGGGATAGAGTACAATCCCATTTCAAAATATTCTAATATATAAATGCAATATAATAGGGATGCACAGATACCGGTTTTTCGGTATCGAGTAGGAGTACCGATACAGGAAGTCCCATTAAGGAAGCCAGGTGGCGTGCAATGACTCACCACCCTGCATCTTGATTAGCCGGGCGGCATGTAATGACTCGCTGCCCGGCTTCCCGATTTCCCGGGAAGCCATCTCCAAGCTCACTCATCACCAGGAAGCATGTAGCCGGCTTTCTAGCCAATCAGGAAGCCTGGGGGGAAGCTAGCTCCATGCTACCTTGCCACCAGGTGGAGGGATAAGGTCACCAACAGATTGAATTTAGGTCCATCCATGCCAAATCAGCTGAAATTCACTCCCTGTGTACCCAGCTTAGGTCCTCAGCCACACAAATTGAAGACAACGGAGAATAATAAAGGAGAGTCGCAGTAGTTCCCTGTATTTCAGCCTCAACAACTTCCACACTTTATAGTGTAGATCCTATTTTGGTTTTAAATCCTCTATCGTCTCACAGTGGCTACAAATCTTCCCTTCCATATTAACCACAAAAAAATTAAAATGATAGACAAGGTGATGAATGAAATGGTACAACACAGTTTAATGAACTCCTACGCTCTGCTGAAAGGCAGGGCTATGGGGGGTGGGAGAAGGTTTGGGTGATTAAAATCAAAAAAGACAAAAGAACCAGTCATACAGCTCCTTTTATTTCCTACGACACGCTAACAGAGAGTTGGAAAGTAATTGATAGCTATGGGCCAAACTGTCACTTTTCAAAGTTACACTCAGACACAATACCTGCATAGAAAACGGACTCCGGGGTAACATCCCAAGATTGGAGATGGTCCAAAATAATGTTACAACAAGGGTTCCTTTTTATAAACTACAGAACCCCAATGGATTCCCCAATATTAGGGATGTCCCCATACCAATGCTAGTACCGGTATCGGGGCCGATATAGGGCATTTTCAGGAGTACTTGTACTCCTGAAAATGCCCCGATGCATAGATCAGATATCGGCCCTTTAAAAATTTTTTTACCACTTCCAAGACCAGGCGTATAGAGCCCCTTCCTGACCAGGCCATTTTTCAGTATTCAGCGTTGCAGTACTTCGACTGACATTTATTCCGTCATGCAACGCTGTACTAAAATAGACACCAAACATGTCAAGCTTTAAAATTGCGCGCACCCTGCAAAAAAAAAAAAAAAATCGCTAAAAACTACCATACCCAAAATTGACCATCGGCGACGCTTTAAAAGCTTTTACCCTCATCAGTTTTGTGTTATCAGTGATTGATGGCCCTAGAACTATTGCTCTCACTCCGACGTTTGTGACGATATGTAACATGTGTGGTGTAATGGGCGCAATCGTCGTTTTCGCACGTAGGCGCACCCGACGCATGTTTTTATGCGTGTATGTATGGGGAGGACTTTAAAAAAAAATTCATTCTTTATGTGTAACTTTAAATTTTTTTGGGGGGGAAACTAATTTTTTTTTAAACTTAACTTTATTGCCATCACATAGGGAGCTAAGAAAACACCCCTATGTGATAGCAAAAGATGTGACAGTTCCTCTTTATGGCGACATCAGGGGTCTCCAAGACCCCTAATGTCACCACCTAGGACCCCCCCTGAAGAAGCTGATGAAGCACAGATCTGCTTCATCAGCTTCTCTCCAGCATCTGAAGCTGGAGAGTGACACGAGAATGCGGAAGTGATGTAATATACACAACTTCCGCATTCTGACAGTGGAGAGGGGTCGTGTACCGATCTCCCTCTGATCCCCTGTGACAGAGGCACCTTGCTGGTCATGTGTCTTTCCCGCGCACGTGGTGTTTTGTATTGTTGTAAGCCTTCACAATGTGCGCCCTGCTATAAAGGCTGGTTATAGATTCATGCATGTACCATTTTTTCTAGTTTGACTATTTCTGGTTTGGGGGACGCACTGGAGTCCCAGCCTGCATTTTTGGTTGCTGTCCTCCAGTGCGTCCCTGCACCTTATTAGGAGTAATTTATCAACTTCATTAATATGCTCACACTTGGAGACTCAGATACATAGAGTTAGGACCACACTTTGCAGAGGTGCCTTGGCGTGGCAGTGTGGCTTCTACATATTTTTGGCCAAAAGTTTGTGCAACTAAAACCTCTGATTTCAACGCATACTGTTGACAGGGCTACTTGTTTGGTTGCAGGCTGGCTGGCAGGTTGAGGCTGGGGAATTTTTGTGTTTTGTATTGTCTAAAGACGCCCGCTCAAATCTAGAGAGAGCCCGGCCGGACGTTTTTTTTACAACGGCCGGCTGGGAAGTGGTTAACTAGCTTCGGCCATTGACCCCCATAGCCCCTCCCCCGGAATACCTCTCCACCAAATGAAGGCTCCCTCTCTGCTCTGACCTCTCCGGACGGAGGTGTGACAGCATGGCGGGCGGTAAGTGTTCTGTGTGGACAGTCTCTTCTCCCTGCTGGTGCTGGCTGCAGCGGTCTGTGTCCCTTTCACAGACCTCTGTAGCCAGCACGAGAAAGGAGAAGAGACCCCGGCTCTGAATTCCCCCGCTGCCCCCCTCTAGCTTAGCCGGTGCTCCTCCGTCCTTCCATGTCCCCTCTTTTTCAACTTGATGAAGCGGTTTCCTTTTGGTGATATATCCCAAAGTGTGAGATGTCTGTGCTCCTTATGTGTAATGCATTCACCCGGCATACACTGCAGTTTTCACTCTCAATGAAAGAAGAGAATGTCCGCTCAGTGTGCTCATGGGGGAGAAGAGGAGAGAAGCTGTAAATCTTGCCTTCACACAGAACGGACCTTCTCTTCTTGGAAAACTTCTGTATACCTCTGGTGAGGGCATTATTAAACACGTAAGGAGCATGGACAGCTGAGATATACCAGCAATCAGCAGGGAGGACCTGATTGAGAACTTTGTCTTCAGTTCCCTCCTTTGCTGATTGACAGCAGGCAGTGGGCGGGTACAATAGCTAGCCTGCTATTGGCTATTGCAATTTAAAATATCCAATAGCAGGCTGGCTATTGCTCCCAGCCACTGCCTGCTGTATTCACATTCAGTGAATCCAGTAGTAGAAAAGGTGACACTTGAGGTCTAAAAGAACCCTAATGTCACCTTAAATAGAACCCGTCACCTTCAATGCATGCAGCACTGGTGAGAAACTGCCCTAAAATCATCAGTCTGTATTGTTTTAGAAAAAATTTCACATGTCCCTTTTAAGAAAAAGTATCGGAAATTGGTATGGGCAAGTACATGAGGGACAGTACTTGGTCTTGAAAAAGTGGTATCGGACATCCCTACCCAATATTTTCCCATACCACCTGCACCAGGCTGTCAGAATCATCACTAGGTCTATAAAAGTGTATGACTTCAAACAATGTCAAAAGGATTTATTGTTTGGGTTGTTTTTTTTTTACTATTCAGGTTTTTTTATAAGTGTTTTTTCTTTCTTTTAAATAACAGATATCATCAAACAAAGCAACCTCTGACATTGCACCCAACACCCCTGACTGAACCTCCCTGTCTCCCAACATTCCAGACACTGCATCTCCCTGCCACTGCATCTCCCTGCCACCCGGCACCCCTGACACTGCATCCCCTGACACTGCATCTCCCTGCCACCCGGCACCCCTGACACTGCATCTCCCTGCCACTGCACCCCAACACCCCTGACTCTGAACCTCCCAACACCCCAGACACTGCATCTCCCTGCCACCCGGCACCCCTGACACTGCATCTCCCTGCCACTGCACCCCAACACCCCTGACTCTGAACCTCCCAACACCCCAGACACTGCATCTCTCTGCCACCCAGCACCTCTGACACTGCATATTCCACCACTGCTCCCCTTTCCCTGCTTCCCCTCGTCACCTTTGCAGGGACATGCAGACAGGAGGCAAGGCTGGAGTTTGTGGGCTTCATGCCCACCTCCATACTGGTGGCATAACCTCCTCCCCAGTACAGTCTATAAAAAGCCAGTCAATCCTCTGGGGTTGCTTTGTACATTATGTATTCCCAGGGGAAGGGGGTGCACACATTTTGGCTGAGAGGAAGAGGGAAGCAAAACATTGAGATGCCCACCACCTTCATTATCACATAACCCTTCCAATGCAGCAGCCATTTTCTAAAAGTTCAACATCTAAAAAGGTATTCTTTTTTTTATTTCATTTACTTTCGAGGCAAGCATTTCATTTGACATACAAAACAACTATTTATCACACTTCCCTCCTAAACTATTGAACCTTCTACATTAAGATGTTGAACAAGCAATCTCTATGCCAGGCTGAAACTGAAACTCCAATTTACTTCCTGTCTTCTTATTTTACAGTAAATATACGATTCGGTAAGTTTCTCATGTAGAATTTGACTCAATAAGCCACATTTCCTCATCCCACATTGTAAATGTCGGGGACCCCTTTCTGTACGTTTGCACGGAGCAGTGTATGGAACATGTGGCTGCGGATTGCTCCATGCACAGGAAAAGGACGCTGTGCTACACAGGCCGTGGTTTCAGCTCTGACTGTTTACTCTGTGGCAGTGAGCGGGAGAGAACTTCCTGTCTGGGCTGTGTGTGATCAACATTATAAGCATAGCACACAGAACTAGGCCCTCTCACAGCTCTACTACGGAGGGGAGAAATGTTTAACCCCAATGTAATAAAATGATAAAGTTACTGCTTATCAGCTCCAGATACATAGGGATGGTTCACACCAGCTGAGGCACATTATG